GTACTTACGGCTGGGTTCCTTGGATCGTCTTCAGGAATATTCCTCTCAATTTTACCGACAAGATCAGCGCCCACATCAGCCGCCTTAGTGTAGATCCCGCCACCAACACGACCAAAGAGAGCCATGGAAGACCCACCAAGACCGTAACCAGTAATCGCCTCGAAAAGACCTTCCCAGTCATCTCCGTAATAGATCTTGAACACATTGATGGTAATGTAAAGCACCAACAAACCACTAGCAGCAAGAAGGAAACCCATCACAGCTCCTGACCTGAACGCAACGATGAACGCCTTTCCGACACCTTTTCTAGCTTCCAAAGTGGTTCTTGCATTGGCGTAAGTGGCAATCTTCATCCCAAGGAAACCAGAGAGAACAGAGGTCACTGCACCAAGCACGAAAGCAACAGTGCTAAAAGCTGCAGTAGCCAATGCAGGCTTGCAAGTTCTTAACGTGTCGTAAGTGCAAGGCTTGTCCTTTGTGCTGAATCCTTCGACAGAGCCGAGGAAGACAAAGATAACAACGGCAAAGAAAATCATGAAGACACCAACATACTTGTATTCCGTGAACAAGAACGAAGTTGCACCTGTTCCACACACAGACAGACACACCAACAGATCCCAGATTATCACTTATCCCCAACTCAAAACTCCAACATCATCATTACCGATACTAAATTAGTAGTTTCAGATTCACAGATTCTTATCAATACAAAACAACATCCAATCCAAATACTCTGACCCTGCTAAACCAATAAGAAAACGAAAGCAGAGCCAGATCTAAGAACAAGAACATGAGATCTGAGTCAAGTTTGACGAGATCTTACCTTCGGAAATAGCGGTCTGAATCTCAGCACACTTAGCGACAACACTCTGGTCATTAACACCTTCCTCTTCCTCGATTAGATAATCACCGTAACCATTCTTCCCATTGTTCGAACCACCGGAAGACGATGCGCCAGGGTCGGCAGTGAGTCTCACACGAGAGACAACATACCATTGAAAAAGCGAAAACAGAATACCAATCACCGCACAAACCGGTACAAGGATCTCCGTCCAGAGCTCCGGAAGCAACGTAGACGCCACCATCTCTCCTCCGATTAAGACAAAACAAAACAAAAGATAAGCGCTTCGCGC